TCCAACCTAAGAGCGATGGCCTCCAACCTAATGGCGATGGCCTCCAATCTAAGAGCGATGGCCTCCAACCTAAGAGCGATGGCCTCCAACCTAATGGCTGTGGCCTCCAATCCAAGAGCGATGGCCTCCAACCTAAGAGCGATGGCCTCCAACCTAATGGCGATGGCCTCCAATCTAAGAGCGATGGCCTTCAACCTAAGAGCGATGGCCTCCAACCTAATGGCGATGGCCTCCAATCTAAGAGCGATGGCCTCCAACCTAGCCTCCAACCTAATGGCGATGGCCTCCAATCTAAGAGCGATGGCCTCCAACCTAAGAGCGATGGCCTCCAACCTAATGGCGATGGCCTCCAATCTAAGAGCGATGGCCTCCAACCTAATGGCGATGGCCTCCAATCTAAGAGCGATGGCCTCCAACCTAATGGCGATGGCCTCCAATCTAAGAGTGATGGCCTCCAACCTAAGAGCGATGGCCTCCAATCTAAGAGTGATGGCCTCCAACCTAAGAGCGATGGCCTCCAAGATGTCCAATGGAAATTCAACAAAACACACTTGGCAAAAAATGACTCCAAACTCAGGCTCCTGAGCTCCGCTCCAAACGGGTTTGCCTCAGGACTCAGGACTGCCAGAATCTGAAAGTCAAAGAACTGAACAAGACACCTTTCTGAATTGTGCCTCCTGTTTGCTAAACCTGTTCCTTTTTGTTCTTTGACATTGGTTTTCTCGAGCTCTTGGACCTCTTTTGGTCACCTATGTACAATACCTCAGCGGGTTCTGTTGCGACGCTCGCTCTTAGCGGCTTTGGCGGCTTTGGCTGCAGCAGCCAGCTTCTTCAACTGCTTGGCAGTCAAACGAGAAAAAGTGATTTCATAGTGAAAGGATTGGGCATCGCAAGTCTCCATGGTTGATAGCTCTCGAAGCTGATTGGCAATTTCTTGAAGATCCCACGATCGCACGGTGTGATCACGTGAGCCTGTCCACAGAAGTGGCCATGACACACAGGCACACAAGATCCCAGCACTGTGACCCCAGAGGTCAGACAAAAGCTTGCCCGAAGTGGCATCCCAAAGCCGTACGTGCTTGTCCTCTGCACAACTTATCAGCCAATCCTTGCAGCTGCTCAAAGCAATGACATGGCTCCAGTGCCCCTGCCATGACAGCCGCTGACTCCAGGAAGGCACAAGTGCAGAGGATGATGCTAAACCAGGCGACCCACTAGGAGCCCAACATGAAATGGTACCTTCGTCGGTGCCTGCAAACAGCTGCCATTCATCCTCCCCCTTCTTGCGCCATTTGCAGATTGACCTGACTTGTCCCATAGTCACCTGCAATGCCCTGGAGCAAGCTGCAGGTGCGTCTGCCGGCGCCTCCGTAGGCATCAAATCAACAAAACGCACCTGTCCATCCCAAGTGGCAACAAGAATCTCCTCAGGCGACAGAAGAACAAGGTCCGCTACTGGATTCCGAAGGCCCAAATCCAAAATGAACAAACAACCTGGCGAAAATCCGCTACTTTCACATCTCTCATCCTCAAGCAATTGCCAAATTCGAATGGTTGCATCAAGGGAAGCCGTGGCAAGATCTGGCCCTTCACTTTTCAGTCGAGCACCGTGTCCGTCCGCATCAGCCTCCTCAGCCATCTCGAAGGTACTGAGACAACAAGCTCTTGTCACGGCCGCTGCGTGCGCCTGGGGCACTTCAAGGAGTAAGGCGCCACGTGCAGACCAGGCTGACACAGATCCATTCACGTGTCCTCCGTAGAGAATGCTTGGAGGCAACGAACTAGCTGCCATCGTTAAAGAGGAACACCAAATTGCAGAGCTGGGCGCAGTATCACTTGTGAGACTTGTTAGGCTATGTCTTGGTGTAGTTGATGTTTCCCTTTTGAGATGAAAGGTCTGCTCTTGTGAAACGATGCCAAGAGGGTTGGAGACATAGAGTGCCACCAATCCATCCGCTGCAACACTCATCAAAGTCTTTTTTTCAGTCTCGAAGCTCTGCACGAAAAGCACCGCATCCTGAGTCCTCAAAAGGTCTCTCCAGGGTCTCCATTGCTTCTTTGGACCTTTGTCTTCTCTCTTGGGTTTCGACCTCTTCTTTTCAAGACGCTGGTCTTCAGCGTCCTCCATGGTTTGAACCCTTCAGCGGAAAACCAAAATGCGTCCTGCGAGACCTCGCAGCAGTCTTGCAAGCATGACTTACCTGCTTTACTCAGTAACTTTACTCGTAAAAGATGTCAGAAATCTACCGTGTGCCAGTCACGTGCAATTACGCAACCTTTTCTCCCTTGCAAACGATGCAAGCTTTGCATTCGTCTTTATGATTTACATGACTACAGTTGACAACATGATGTTTCGTTAACAAAGTTGTTAAGAATTTGTGTCCTATGCGTCAAGCTCAATCTGCGCATCTTTCTGCCCTTCTCAGCTCGCGGCGCCCCAACGCCGAGGAGCGATGCCAAAATGCTAAGTCTGAAAGCACCCAAAATGCCAACGAAGAGAGATTCAAAATGTTTTTGTCCACGCTTCGGTTTGGCTCCAGAATAGTTTGTCGGAGAAAGGCCCTGAGGGGGGTGGGCGAGGTAGAATATGAGTAGGCAAATAGATGCAAGAAGCCCCTAGTAGCGTGATTGCTCCTAGTAGCAGAAGCTTCGGAAGCTACAAAACTGCAAGCAGAAGCTTCCTTGAAGGACCTTTGCTGCACGAAACATACGAAACAGTTCGGTCTTTGGAGATTCTTCTTGAACTTTTCACCTTTGAAACCTCTGAGCTAACAAGAAGCTAGTAGCTTCTGGCATTATTAGGAGTAAGGACACTAGTACTTAGATGTACTTGGTACTTTCTTTTTTTCCTTCTTTCGGCCCCATCTCCGAAATCGCACTTCGACAGTCACAGTCGCGAGCCATGCGGATAGTTTATCCGCTTCGTCACATGGTCTCCTAGTAGCGATGCCCTTTGTCACTAGTAGCTTCTTGTTACTAGTAGTAAGGCCAGGGGCCCCTAGTAGCGCCCTCGCTCCTAAGATCTCCAAAGGAGTCGACCACAAGTGAGCATGATTGATGAGGGTCCGAAGGCATGCCGCATGCTTGCTTGATTCGTGTGCCTGCCGTACGACGAGACTGATACTGCCAAAGTGCCATCCCACACACCCATGTTAGATTCACATGGAATCAAACCCATGAGGGATCGGCGGTCGTAAATTCGGCTGGGTCTGCGTGCCATCAGTGGAATGAAAGAACAGCCAGCCGATCCCTAAGCTTCATTTGGCAGGATTTTACCCCCAATCTTGTCACCGGTCATTTGTCACACTGAAATCTGTCATTGAAGACCTTGAAGGGCTGCAACGGTGAAAGTGCTCAGAAACTAAAACACTTTCAGACTTACTAGTAACAGGTGCCACGCTAGTAGTAACAGGTGCCTTACTAGTAGTAACAATGTTTGCTATTAGAAACAAGTGCCTTACTAGTAGTAACAAGAAACTATTAATTTACATGAGAGGATTGAATGAACTTTTCTCTCTTGCGTGCCTTGAACCAACTGTCGTGACCGTGCCTGCCTCGAACACCAGGCACAGCGAAAAGCCATAACAAAAGAAACAAATAGGTGCCACAGACCACTCCAACCCAATAGCAATGGCCTCTTTCATAACAAATAATAGGTGCCACATTTTGCATAGGACCCGAAAGCCGCCGTGGCATGCCTTTGATGCAGTCTCCGCCAAATTGGCCAAGTGCCACTGCGAAAGGCCCTCCTTCAAAACGTAGAGGCAAAGCATGAACGCAGTACGAACCGGCGAGAACTAGAGGCAAAGCACCGGCGAGAGATATCCGGTTGTTCACTTAGCCAAGCAACAACACCAGAATTGAATGCAGCAAAATTGTGTCACATCCGGTAGGAGGGATAGGAGGGATCAATACAGACCCAATGATTGCAAAGAATCGATGTTTTGGGTCTTTTCATGTTTGCTAGTGGCTTAAGTAAGCTACTGGCTACTGGACGCAGAATAGCTCACGCTAGTCATGTGGTTCCTAGATTCAACTTGCTACCCTCAAGTCTGTTCCTCTACTTTCCTCGCGCGCTTTTCGTTGACAGTTGTCTTTTCCGGCATGCTCTCTCCCTGGCTCCATGGTGCTCTCGCAGCGGGAGAGAGGCACATCAGGGGAGGTGAGGTGGAATGAAGCTCACTTGAAGCTTGCGTCGTGATCAACGAGGCTGACTGTGCAGCTTTCTTCAACCGGACCTCCGCGCCCTTTCGAACTCCTGGACATTGTTCCCGGAAAGGGGACTAGCCCAAACTCCGGCGAATCGGCAGGCCACACAGCCACTCGAGAAAGCACTGCGTCTAGAGTCTAGAAGTCCGCTCACCAACCAGCAACAGGCATGGCCCATCTGTGCAAAGTGCCCACTCTGCCGATGTGGATTGCGGACGGAGATTGTCCAAAAAAGCTCCTGGGCACTTTGGCACAAAATGGACGGCTGGTTTTGCAGGGCGTGGCCTCAAAGAGCGAGCGCACTGCAACGAGAGAGCGTAGCGCCGAAAGGCTTTGAGGCTCGAACCACACGAAGCCTAGGAGCAAGGACGCTACTAGGGGCTCCTGGCATCGCTACTAGGAACAAGGGCCTTACTACCAATAACAAGAAGCTAGTAGAAACAAGTGCCTTTCTAGCTTCTTGTTTCTAATAGCTTCTTGTTACTACTAGTAAGGCACCTGTTCCTAGTAGCGATGCACTTGTTCCTAGCATCCTTGTTGCAGAGATTTGAAGCGACCACATCTGCCAACCTCTCAGTGCACGGCACAGCGGCAGCGCTTGACACCAGCCAAGAAGACACCAAGTGGTCGCTAGTTGACACCTCAGAGATCAAAGAAAACGCCTCAATAACATCAAAATATATATATCATCGATAGTAGGTTGGAGGCCATCGCTATTAGGTTGGAAGCCATCTCTAGCAGGTTGGAGGCCATTGCCAGTAGGTTGGAGGCCATCTCTAGTAGGTTGGAGGCCATCAAAGGCAACATCAAAATGTCCATAATATGCTTTTGAACATGTAGCAAGCCTTAAAGCACTTGGTTCTGGACAGATGGAGTGCTCTGGCACCTTTGCCTTGGACACTCTTTGGGGCAAGAAAACAGCATGCTCTTTGTTTTTTTCTGTCCTTCATTCATTACTTTTCTTTCTACTGGCGATGGCCTCCAACCTACTAGCAATGGCCTCCAGCCCAAATAGGGATGGCTTCCAACCTACTAGCTTCCTTCCTTCTTTCTTTGCCATATTTTCATGGTCCATCTCATGTTCCGAAAGTCACGTGAGGACTTTGCAAGCACTCACAGCGGAGAGCACTTTCTACCTGCAAAAGGACACATATTGAAGATTCTTTTGGACGAAAACGCAACCACGTCTGACCGTCTGACCATGTCCCTGTTCTTCTCTGTTGCTCTTGATCTTTGTACTCCTCTGTTTGTTTGCAGTAGTAACAAGTGCCACGCTAGTAGTAACAAGTGCCTTACTAGTAGTAACAATGTTTGCTATTAGAAACAAGTGCTCTTGTCCTCTGTTTGTTTGCACTTGCATACGTTTTGTTGTCACTCTCTCCCTCTCGCTCTCTCGCTCTCTGTCTCCCTTGTGTCTTTTCGCTACTGATTGCAACCAACCTCTTCCCTTGTAGGACTTAAACCCTAGTCCTGGCCTGTCAGTGGGCGGGGGGGTCATTTATCCCCCCCGTTTGGGGTCATTTATCCCCCCTTTCAATGTCCGAGACCCATGTCCGAGACCTCTATGCCCGACACCTCATACACATCCACGCATGTCCGACATCTCTCTGACTGTCCGCGACCTCTATGTCCGAGACCTCTGTGTCCGAGACCTCCATGTCCAAGACCTCTATGTCCGAGACCTCTGTGTCTGAGACCTCTATATATGTCTGCGTCGGAGACGGAGACCTCCATATGTCCGAGACCACTATATGTCCGAGACCTCTACATCCGAGACCTCCTATCAGAGACACGCGCGTCCGAGTCCGAGACCTCATGGGAGGGCAACATCCTTCTCTAAATTTTACCCCTGCTTTGCACGCAAACCGGGTGAGGCAAGTCGAGATGGCAACATCCTTCTCTAAATTTTACCCTCGGGCGGCTCACCAAAGGGTGAGTCAACCTGGCATGGCCATCCTTCTCTAAATTTTACCCCTGCATGGCCCACAAAAGGGTGAGTCAACTTGGCATGGCCACTTCCTTCTCTAAATTTTACCCCTGCATTGCCCACATACAGGGGTGAGTCAAGCTGGAATGACCACTTCCTTCTAAAATTTTACCCTCGGGTTGCTCACCGAAGGGTGGGTCAACTTGGAAGGGCAACATCCTTCTCAATTTGACCGTGCATGGCCCACAAAAGGGTGAGTCAACTTGGCATGGCCACTTGCTT